AGCCTTTTTTTGGGGGGGGAATGGGGGGGAAGACACAGTCTTGCTCTGCCGCCCAGGCTGGAGTGCCGTGCCATGGTGCAATCTCAGCTCACCGCAACTTCTGCTTCCCGGGTTCAAGCAATTCTCCTGTCTCAGCCTTCCGAGTAGCTGGGGCCACAGGTGCCTGCCACCACACCAGGGTAATTTTTGTATTTTTAGTAGAGACGGGGTTTCACCATGTTGGCCAGGCTAATCTCGAACTCTTAACCTCAAGTGATCCACCCCCTCGGCCTCCCAAAGTGCTGGAATTACAGGTGTGGGCCACTACGCCCAGCCTGTATCCTTTTTAAACATGGTTCTTAATTTTCAAATTTTTCTTATACATTTTAGTCACCTATACTACACATGTATTGTGTATTATGTATTTATATATACATATATCTATATATGTGTATATATGTATATGTATCTATATATGTGTATATATACACACACATATTATATATACATATATATACTATATATCATATATATTGCGTATATATGTATTTACCCTAATAATCACTATTTAATTTTTAAAATTTCTTAAGATGAGTTTTGGCACAAGTTAAAGTTGAATACTTAAGTAACTATGACAATGTCCCGACTAAGAGCCTCAAAATATATACAAAAGAGGGGAAAAAAATCTGTTAATCCATGAGAGACAGTCATTTTTCCAATGTTGAGAGGTAGAATAGACCACATGTTAAATCAAGTCACAAGAAATACACAGGCAAACATACATATGTGCATGCAAATGTGCACACACTTACAGGAATGACGTTACTGATAATGGAATCTCATGTCTTAGCTTTTCCTTGCCTTGTCTTTGTCAAAGGAGGAGAATTACTAAGTATTCAGAATCATGATTCCTGTCATTGGAACAGCTGGAGAATATGTCATCCAGCTTCTTAAATTTTCTGAATAAGGAAACTAAGATACACTGAAGTTAACGGTTCTGCTCAAGGTGAAACAACCAGCTAATAACAAAACCACAACTAAAACAGACTGGCCTCTCAATCCAATAGTAACACCTTTAGAAACAATCACAACACTTGATTAATACAATTATTTAGAGTGCTGATTTCTTAAAACAAACAGAAAAAACATACAATAATGTGATATTTTTTTCCAAAATAAAAAAGCATAAGCAGTATATTTGGACTTCAGTTCTACACATACTTACTTAAAAGGGGATAAAACCTAACTTAAGTAATAATTATCATGTGACCACATTAAAGGGACAGCTATATACTCCTTTTAAAAACTGAAATACTGATTAGTTTTTTAATTACCTTACATGAGCATAAGATAAGCAATAACATCTAGAAACATAAGGAGTAAAATCATCCTGGATAAATATACCATCCCTGTACTATAACACACTTTTTTTGTTCGTTTGTTTGTTTTTGAGATAGAGTCTTGCTGTGCCTCCCAGGCTGGAGTGTGGCAGTATGATCTTGGCTCACTGCAACCTCTGTCTCCTGGGTTCAAGCTATTCTCGAGCCTCAGTCACCCCCAAATCTGGGACTACTGGCACAAGCCACCACACCCGCTAATTTTTCTGTTTTTTAGTAGAGACGGGGTTTCGCTGTGTTGGCTAGGCTGGTCTCAAACTCCTGGCCTCAAATGATCTGCCTGCCTCAGCCTTCCAAAGTGCTGGGATTACAGGTGTAAGCTACCGTGCCTAGCCCATGCTTTTTAAAAATGCATTTCATGGGCATTCAAGACTCCTAAAGTCTTGAAAAAAGCATGTAATGCAGTTTTTTACCTAATAAAACATTTCATTGAATGGGTTAAAAATTATATAGTAAAAAAATAATGGTTATCTCTGATAGGGCATACTGAAGCATTAGAGAGCTAAGATCTAATATCTCAATCTGAGTAGTAATACCACATCCTTGACTGTATGTGCTCTTTGTATGCTATACCTCAATACAAAAGTTCCAAACAAACACATAAAAAATAAGAATAAAACAAAATCAGAAAGCCAGAAAAACATACTTAACTCGCATAGTATCTGATTTTGATTGCTCTGTAGAGCCATCACTGCTAGTTCCTTCTAAGGAAAGGCAAAATATGCACGAGTCTTTTCTATTTCTAGGGTCAGAAGGGGCTTGTAGACAATTAAGGTACAAAGACAGGGCTCCAAAATGTTACCTTAGCAATGCTCATGTACTTTTGTACATATGGAGGCTGTCTCTCCATATGAGCTTAACGATTTACTGAATGCCTAACCTGGAAGTGGTCTACTAATTGACAGTATGAAAAGACAGTGACTGTAAAAAAAAAAAAAAAAAAAAAGAACCAGAATATTAAAAAAATTTTACTCCAGTAATCTAAATACTTCTGTCAAAAACATCCCAACTAGTGGTTTACTCAGGTTCAAATCATGCAACAATGCTGATTCCTCCTTTCTCTCTCCTTATACCTAATTCCCAAAAAGACTCTATTCAATTTCCCAGTACTGCCCATATTCTTTCTTATTTCCACTGTAATCTCTCTAGCATACGCCTTTATTACCTCTTGCCGGACTACTGTAAAGTCTTCTTAAGTTTGGTATTTTATTCTTTCCAAGAAACAACATTTTTTATTTTGTATCATGGTTATTTCTATACCTTACTTTGCCCTGTACAACCCTTCTCTAGAGTATTTTATTCATTTGGTACCTTCAGTTACCATTTGCCAAGTAAGAGTTGAAAAAAAGTTTGATTGCTTCATTACGAGTAGAATGATCTGAAAAATTACGATGGTGAATGATTGCTTCATTTAAAGCTGATTTGTCAAGAACAAAATTCTCAACCAAAAGAAAACTTTCTCAAATGAAAATTAGCCTAAATTTTCTGAAAAATTACAAGAAAAAAAGCCAGAAAAGAGACTATAGAACATGTGGTACTTGGCGGGGAAGGAAATAGAATCAAGGAGATACTCTATCAGTAGGTTGTGAAGAAAGAAGATGATATTTACCATTTGGGACTGTCAGTTTTAGGATATATATGAATAAAAGTTGAGAATAAATTTCATATAGAGCCCTGGTAACCACAGCCATCACCTTTCCAAATATTGTTAGTGTCATTGTTTAATAGATATTCGCCAACTTGAATGACTTCAATGCAAATTGGAGGTAAAATTTAAAGGTTGATTTTTTTTTCCCAACAAAAAATAGAAACTGGGTTTTTTAGTGATTACAGAATAGAATTCTCTCTCTAGCAATCAAGAATATCCTCATTCTGTGGAAAATTTTCTTTTGTGATTAATTAAAGAGGAGAACTGATACTCACTGACTGTCTACTATGGACCAAGTACTATCGAAATGTTAACTCACTTGACTCAAAAAGCCATCTTATGAGATAGATATTACCGTCCTTGTTTCATAGAATTAAACAGAGTTAGCACATCCACTGACTCCATTCAAACCTTGGTCTGTTTAATTCAAAAGTCAAGGACATCTCATGAACAATGAGCATTCTTAATAATTCAGTGATACTACCACTTCCAAGATAAATTTTCCAACCAGTTGCACTAAAATAGGGAAAATGCGATCAAGTCACACTTTGATTTTATCAGTTACACTGACTGGCAGGCAGGAATATCCTTTGAGATCTGTATTTACTTAATGTCCCGATTCATCTAAATGAATATATATTAGCACTTACTATGTTTCAGTCGCTACTTTGGATTTGGAGGCTGGGAAATACTACCAACTCCGCACAGGGAAACTCTGTGTCCACTCCCAATTGTCATGAGCTTGCCCATAAACTTGTTCCTGAGGAATGCAAGAAACTAAAGAAGCAGGGCGTCCATCAATCAGTCTTGCTCATTCTAGTATTTATAGGTTTGTCAAAGTTGGGCACATAGTAGGTACTCAAATATTTGCTGAATGGAAGGAAATTAACATTCCTTGAGCGCTTGAACGTTCAAGAAAATGTTCGATCACCTCACTGGAATCCTCAGGACAACCAAAAGAGGTAGGTTTTTCACTACTCCCGTTTAATAAATGAGGCTGACAGACTTAGATTCACTCAGCCAGGATTTAAAGAGACTGACCTGAAAGCCCAAGGCTCTCCCCACATCATATCTTACTTAAGAAACCTTTTAATTGTGTGCACACTGCCTCAGTGCGATTTTTGAAATGCCCTCTAGATCACCAAGTTGATAAGTATCTTAGGCTACTTTACACTTTGGCTGCTTTGAAACACTTTCTAGAACGGAACAATGTTAATATAATCTCATTTTAACATTAAATTTCCTTAAAAATTACAAAGACAAAAATTTGAGGTATATCAGAACGAGATTCAAAACTATGAGGCAATGTATCCTCATTAAGGCTTTTTGAAGAAATGACATCTCTAGAAAATCAACAGGAATGAGAGCTCTGCCATGTTAACTGAAAAAAATTTTCCTACAATTAAAAAAAAAGAATGCTACATTAGAAACTGATAGATCAAATGTATTATATCTTTTCTTGTTGAAATTCTCGGTAAACTGCTAGACGTCCTTTCAAGTAGCCTCAATATATCACAATTCATAAAACAAGCCAAAATCTATGCCGGTACACACTAAACAAGTGTTGTATTTCTAAAACACTATTTCCGAATCTTGTCATACCAAAATTTGAAAAACCGTATGACCTAGTACAGTCCAGAATATCCTCAAACTATAACTCTCCGAAGTGGGTCAGAAAATATCACAAAGCTCACAAAATAAAATTTACCTGAACTCACTTAAATTTGATAAATAAAGGTTTGAGCAGCGGCCCGTAAGAGAAGGGGAAACAGAAGCGGAGTGTGAGAGCTAAAATCGAACATTCTGTGCCATGTCTGACAACCCAGAGTCAGGCCCTCAAATATGTGACACCACTGGGGCGGTTCCGAAGGCGGAGTAAGGTCTCCTGAATAACTCAAAAGGAAACAGTTTCATAACTTAAGTGGTTTCATTTCAGATTACCCACGTGAAATTGGCTGATGAAAAAAAAATCATACCCACTGCACAGATGAGAAAAAACAGGAGCGTTTTCAGGTTATACAAGCCGACGCCTGGCGCCCGGCGTGACGTGAAACGCTCTAAGTTGCTGCAGCTGGATACCAGGTGGACTGGGATTTAAATTGTGGAAAAATCGGCCTGGAGAGGTACAAGGCCTGTAGACGGAGGACTGTAAGGTCACGGTCACGGAAATTTTCCTGAGGAAGGCGGCTTTGGAGGCTGGGTGCTTTCCGGGCCGGTACCCCGCAGACCAGTCTCCCACGCGTGAGCCGAGCATGGCGAATGCTGCACGCCCGGGTCCCGCTCCCAGTCGCAGTTTCTTCACCCCAGAGGTCACCCTGACCCGGAAACAGTACCCCAGAAGCAGCGGTCAGGCGTCGGGGGAGGTCGGGTGGAAGGGCGAAAAGGAAGGTGGGAGGGCAGGAAGTGCGCGAAGAGGCGGAGGGCCCACGGCGAAGGCCAGACGCTGCCCCAGAGGCTAGGGCTGGGGTCGGGATGGGGGTTGGGAGAGGAAAGCCCCTCCCAAGCACGCGCGAACCGCACACACTCACCTGCCCCTCCCCCTCCCCGCCCGCCCGGCGGAGGCTCCGAGCTGCCGCGGGCCGCGCGCGCGCACACAAGGCGCGCTCACGCGCGCTGCCTGTCTCTTCCTCGAGCTCGCGCTCCGCCCGTTCACTCCCAGCCCCGCTCATTCAAAGCCGGGCGCGCGCTCCCTAGCAGCCTGCGTTGCCTCCGCGCAGCCTCCATGGCCGCCCGCTCCTCGGGAAACCCGCCCCCAGTCCCTCCTCTAGCCCCACCCCCAGCCCTTCTTGAAGGCGGATCTCGGCTGTCTCCAGGCCCTGGCTTCCGCACTCCGCCTCAGGTTCTGGCTGGCCCAATAGGTGAGAGGCTACGGGTCTGACGTCAGGATTGGGAGCCAATGAGCGCCGGGAGCGGGGCAAGCGGCGACAGGCACGCCAGGTTCGGTGAGGGGTGGCTTTTTGGGACCTTTGCTGGCTGCTTTGACTGTTTATTCTTGGAGCGCCTGGTTCTGCCAGATGTCTCTACTTTCCTTCTATGCAGAGTGCCTCCCCTCCAGTCGAGCCCCTTTCTGCTCAACCCACAGAACCCCTCTATCAGATGAGACCAAGGAAGATACATTTCAATAAATGCGGGATCTCCCTCTGTCTCAGGAATATTTGGGTGCGGCTAGACAGACCCACTCCTCTCAGTCATTCCACCACCTCAAAGATGCGGAATGCTGAGTTTAATTCAGGACGTAGCCTCCTCCTAGTATTTTTTAATTGAATTTTGTTTAACTAGAAATTAAGAAGTGGCACTTCACCGCGTCCATGCATTTGTTCCTCACATGCACCCTGGACTTGCCCTTCTTTCAACCTGAGATGTTCTTTCCTTCAGTGCTTCTCTCTTTGCAGCCTGATTCTTCTTTTTATCTTGTATGCTATGAAAAGGATCGAGTCCTTGGTTATTATGTGCAGGGGACCCTCAGAATACTATGCTCCACAGTTGCAAAGTGACTGGTGAGGGAGAAGTGAATAGGGTCTAAGGCCAAAATCAGTTTATGCAAATTGTTCCTCAACAAGCCTTTATCTTTATATGCCTTTAATTTTTCTTTTTCTTTTTTACTACAACTGCCTTTGTTCTCCCACCCTGACCCAGCCACCATCTACCAACTTAACTTTGTGATAATCTACCACCACCGTCCTCCTTCCAATTTGCACCACGTTTTTTTATTAATAATTTCATTTCCAAGAAGGGAAAGATGTGTTTATGACTCGTGCTCTGGAATGGTTCTGTGTAACGTTGGATAAAATTATTTAATCTCTTCACTTCAATTTCCTCATCAGTAAAATGGCCATAATAGTGAAGCATTACTTCATGCTGTAGTAATGCTTGCAAAGCTCTCTTAGCACAGAGCCTGGCACATAGCAAACATTAATAGATAATAGTCGTTACTGCGGCTACTACTACTGCACTACTATTGCACTACTACAGTATCATTGCCGATAACTGCATTTCCCAAAGGCCATGCAGCCCCTGGCAGTCCGTTAAACACCTGCTTTAACTTTAATCTCTAGCATTCTAATGCCTAAATTTCAATATAACATTTCTATTTTTTTTTAATTTAAAAAATCCAATTATCTAGCTGGGCACAGTAGCACATGCCTGTAATACCAGCACTTTGGGAGGCCGAGGCAGGAGAAACGCTTGAGCCCAGGAGTTTAAGACCAGCCTAGGCAACGGGCGAAACTCCCTTTCTACAAATAATTTAAAAATTCGCCAGCTTTGGTGGCGCGTGCCTATAGTCCCAGCTACTCAGAAGGCTGAGGTGGGAAGGATCACTTGAGCCCAGGAGGTCGAGACTACAGTGAGCCATGATTGGGCCACTGCACTCCAGCCTGGGAGACAGAGCAAGATCCTGTCTCAAAAAAATTAATTAATTAATTAAATCCAAAATAACCTATATTCGGATATAAACGTGTTTTAAATTTTTTTTCTTAAAGAGTTGATTGCTTTAGATGATTTATTATGCCCTAGGATATTTTCTTCTTTTTCCTGATTCTTCAGTTTTCTTTATTAAATTTGCCTTTCCAAATGAAACAAAACGAAAGGTATATACTTTTCCAGAAACACCTAGTTACTGAGTACTTGTTTCCCAACACAATAGCAAAACAAACAGAAAACAAAACTCGCTAAAGACTGCAAATTTAAAATTTACTTTAGTAATAACTATAAAATAATATTTAAAATCAACTTGTTAAATAGTTAAGTCCATAATTGGGATCACAAGTCAATAATTTGGATTTGGGTTTAGGGACCACCTCTTGGAAACAGGCAACTTTTAAGTCCTGTCCTCTCCCCAAAGCTTGTGTGGAGTGGGAATAGGGAACCACCAAATGTCAGATGGGAGGAACATAAGGGATAGAACCTGGTATATGAATTTCTTTTACTCAATGGAATATAGTTAATTCTGCCTGCTCTGAGTCCAACCATTTTGCTCACTCTAAAGCTTCTGATCAGCCTCTGCCCAATTACCAGCTTGATTTATTCACACTATCAACCTCCAGCCAACCACTTACTCTCCCCTTTCAAAGCCTACATAGGCTTTGTTCTGAGTTCTCCAGCTGGGGCTAACTCTGGCCTTGTCACCTGACCTGGCCCAGGAGGTAGGAGCAGACTGCAAACACAGCCCTCTGTTCCAGATTTTTCCCAACCCAGTTCCCTGGCTTTTCACCAAAGGGTGGGTTTTTTCCCTCAAATACAATTTTAGACCTGCTGTTCTGACTTGAACTTTAATGGCTTTTTATTAATGAGCAGCTGTTCACAGTTGAATACAGATCATAAAGTCACATTCATTTCTTGATCAAGTAAAACAAAGCTTTGCCATTCATAGAGTGACAGCTTTGAGCAGATACATTTAAAGCATAGGATTTTCTGATGAGAATTTTAATGAATTGTTTTATTAATCTTCCCACTGGGGAATTATACTTGCTTTCAAAATAATAAACTTCAGTATTCTGGAAAATTATGACTTCTTTTTTAATGTTCAAAATCACCATATACTAGTTAGGGTCAATTGCCTAATAGAGAAATCAAACAGTCTGAAGCAGCATTTTTATTTCTTTTCTATTAAATGAAAATTAACCTTCTATGAAGCATTTAAATAAATTTTTCCTCATAATTGTTATTACAATTAGCAGTGACTTTTATTGCTAAATATAGGAAGACTCAAGATTTAGTAACAATTTAGAGTTAACCAGGTTTCTTCAGAAGGGGCTTGGATAGAAATCGAGAAAAATAATTCATATATTTTATAGAAATACATTCAAATGAAAAGAGGTGAATTCTCATTTTGTGTTCAGTAGTGAGGTTCAGCAACATCATACTTCTGGCTAATGTCCACATTGTTATTAGATTTATAACACAGTTCAGCTATATTATGAATTAAGTAGAGTTGATCTGAACAGGATCTGGGAGTCTAAGACCTTTTGTTATTTCTAACAGTAAATGTATTGAAATTCATACAACCAACATAAAACAGTAGTTTGTAACATAATCTATCTTGTACATGGATTGAGAAAGTAGAAATAAAACAACACGAAACAATGGGAGACTCATTCATTGAGCTACAGCATGACGGACGTCGTGACTTTGACCTTGAACAAGTTTAAGCCTCAGTTTTCTCATCTGCAAAATTACGTTAGTAATTCCTGCTTTACAGATTTCTTTTGCAAATTAAATATCATACCATATGTGGAAATGTGTTGGAAATATAGCAATAAAATTGGTGAAAGCTTTAAAGCAAACAGATTTATTATCTTCAAGATCAGGACAATCCCCTTTAGCTCACAACATGGAATAGTGCTTCCAGGGAATAGAGGTGAATTTTATGTCATCAGCAACCAGAAGTAGACATGTTTACTAGCAATATATTAACAAAGGGAAACAGGGAGGGAAAGCCAGAATTCAACCCTCCATACCCCCACTTCTACCTTCTTTATTCCCTTTGTTTTAAAGGCATAGGATGAAAGATCAGCTGTCAGAACTAGGACACCTATAACCCTTCCCCTTTCTCTCCAGGCTTTTATATACCACTCATGGGATATTTATCTCATAACAAGATCTGTTGCCAAGTTTTGTCTATTCTTTCTTCTCAGTGTCCATAATTTCAGCACATCTGGATAGCAAAATGATCTGCTAACTTAGTCTTTTGTATTTTACTATTTTCCTTCCTCTAAGTCACTTTGGTACTTTGCTATCTGATTAATATTAATATTGTTAAGGCACAGCCTTCTTCATAGTAACTGACCTTTTTAAATTTTCCAGTGTCCGTCAATTCAAATTCACTTAGGAGGATATGTGTCTTGATTGTTGCTTTTTAAACTCTTAATTTTGAATTGTTTGTTTGGGGATCTCCCTCTAACCACCTATGGCCCTTTAAGACATGCCAGAATTCTCGTTAAAGGAGTTAGTCTATGTATACTGTACATTTCATACAGTGAAAATTAACTTAAATCTATATTTTATACTGTAGTTCTTATTTGAAATTAAATCCTTTAAGGATTATTTTCACTTGAAAATTGAACTCATAATCATACTAGAAATTTTTGATGTGAAGAACTTAATAAATTTTTTCTTCCTAAGAATTTATAGAATTTATATATATAAAGGATCATCTGCCTAAATGCATAAATTACTGTAATGAAAAACCAAAGGAAAATACTCTTGCCATGTAGCCAGGCACAGTCATAAATATCTTGCACAAAAGGAATTAGTTTTTTTTGCTCATAGGCACAGAGCCCATTACCATAGCAACCATAATTACTCAGTCTATAACTGGGTGTGAATTTTATACACTGCTACTTCAAACATTAAGGCTGTAAGTCAGGATAAAGTGCAGTTTCTGTAATATTTTGAAAAGACTTCTTAATCTCGAAAAGCTAGGATAGGAAAAGTTTCATTATGCTACCTAATCATTGGTTTATTAGAAAGTTTATTTAACACCATGGGCAAAGTGTGTGCTAAGCACTTCAGAGAAGTTGAAAGAATACATAGTCCTTAACCTAAAAAAAAACTTATCTAATAAAGTCAGCATTCATGGGTGAACAGCGTTCTTAGAACAGTTTTTCCATGACCATCTTCCTAATTTCAGAATGACGGAATTATAACAACTACAGTACTGTATTAGGACTTGCAAGTAAGGCAATAAGAGGTTTGTAGCTGTACCTACTATGTCCCCTATGGCACAGTTTTCCTATTTGGTCTTACAGTGTGTCTGTAGCTACTCTCTGGGGAGGGGAAATTGGGGGAATAAATTTTAGTATTTCTTTCACTGGAGACTGAACACTCCTTGCAGTTACTACCATCATGGGGAAGCTGAAAATGCCCACTGATGAGCTTAGAAAAAGGTCAAGACCCTCCCACTGTTTCAGTAGTTCCCCAACCCAACACATAATGGATTCAGATTAAAGGTATTTTTTTTGTTGTTTGTTTTGTTTGTTTTTTGTTTTGTTTTGTTTTTTGAGGCGGAGTCTCGGTCTGTGGCCCAGGCTGGAGTGCAGTGGCACGATCTCGACTCACTGCAAGCTCTGTCTCCCAGGTTCACTCCACTTTCCTGCCTCAGCCTACCAGGTAGCTGGGACTACAGGTGCCTGCCACCACGCCGGCTAACTTTTTGTATTTTTAGTAGAGACGGGGTTTCACCGTGTTAGCCATGATAGTCTCGATCTCCTGACCTCGTGATCTGCCTGCCTTGGCCTCCCAAAGTGTTGGGATTACAGGCGTGAGCCACTGCGCCCGGCCTCAGATTAAAGTTTAAGCATTTCCATTTGGGAGGGTATAGGTAGTAACTCAAAGATGCATGGGGTATTATAACCCTGGCATTGTCCACCTTTCCCATTAGGAAGGATTAACTATCTGTTCCCTTGTTCCTTTCAAATTTTGCCATCTCAGATATCTGATGAAAGCGGGAGATGTATCTTTTAGGATTAGGATAACCACCAAATAACAATGAAACCCTGAAGGAGCCAGGGCTGGTATAGGGGACCACAATGTCAGGAGCCCAGACTCCTTTCAGCTGAGCTCTCTGGGTTCTGGAAGAGGTATAAAAATATTCTTCACACAAGGACATTGTAAAAGCCATAAAATTGTCCACCATCTTAGTCTTTTCTTACCTACAGGTTTAAGATTTTTCTGTAGATTTTTAGTAAGGAGATTTTCTAACACAAGTTATGGAGCAGTAAAAAGCACTGGCCTTTATCCTCCAGGTCTCAGGAGCCATCTTGCTCCATGTAGCAGGAAAAACAGGAAAGGATGAAGAAAGGGCAAAGGGTTGCATAATAGCTGTTTTAGCAGTTTCTAGAATATGCCACAAGATAATGTCTGTTTTTGTAACCCACTGCACAGAAGTTGATCGCTCTCACTGCAAGTGAAGCTGGGAAATTGCCTTTGTTCTAGGTGGCCCTGTGCCCAGCCAATAATTCTAATACTTAGCACTCACAGGGTGCTTATTACATGCCAGGCACTGTTACAGGGTAATAAGAAGCCCAGTGGTTTACTGGGCCAGGGATTGACATGATATAGGCCACATTATGGAAATAAAAACAAGAGTGTGTCATTTTACCGCCTCTAGGCACTGTGTTACATGTCATATATGTGATACCATCAGTCTTCAAATACCACACTTTCCACATTTTGTAGCTGAAGAAACTGAGAATAAGGGAAACTAAGAGCTTGCCTGAGGGCATAGAAGTGGTAAAGTATAAACCAAGAATTTGAACAGGAATTTGGATTAAAAACTCTTCCCAATGAAGTACTTGCCCATGCTTGAGGAAAAGTGGGAAGCAATTAAATGTTGGAATTTGGGCTCTGGAGTTAAGTTGTCTGTGTTTGAATCCCAGCTTTACCATTAGTAGCTCTGTGAACTTGGGAATTTAACCTAACCTTTCAACATTTCAAGTTTCCTCATTTGGACAAGGGAATAAGGTTATCCTCATAGGATTGCTGTAAGGAGAGAGTCCATGTGGAACACACAGCATAGTGTCTGGTATGTAGTGAATATGTGATAAACCTTTATTATTGATTATTGTTATTATTAGTGCTAGGGGTATTTTAAATAGCACTTTTGGGGATAAATGAATAAAAGGTGAAAACAGATGGACCATCTAGAAGTCATTGCAATGATCAGAAGGTGATGGAATTTAGGAAAGAGTAGAGAGTAGTACAAGATATAAACATTTCTCTTACTATGAGAAATACAAGAAGCTATTCTTATTAACTTCTTATTCTCTGTTTCTTTCTTTGACCAAAATTGGAACAATATATTTACTTCACCAATATTTCAGGTCTTAGATAGAAGAGCATTCACACACCAAAGGATTTTTATTACTTGTTCAAGAGCTAGATAGTCACTTCTTACAATAAAAAATATTTTAAGAATTTAAACATTAATTTCTAAGACAGGAATGTTCAGAGAAATATTATTTAAATGCAAAAAAATTTAAAAGCAAAAATAAAAGTTGCTTAGCATATGAATAAGGGATATGGGAAGCCATACTGCCCATGGATTCCAATAATTCAAACATTTTTAAAAGTAGTAATTAAATTGTAATTTATCTGGAATAAGCAATTATGTATTATGATTATTCTAGAAAGTTCTTAAAAAGCAGACAGCCAGAAACCTAAAGCAGTTAAATCAGGAACTTTTTAACAAAGTCTGTGGCTAAGAAACAATTTTTAGAAATTCCTTTTACTGCCATATAACTTGTATTAGAAAATTTCCTTATTAAAAACTGACAGAAAATATCTTGACAAAAAAACTCCAATGGGCTGAATTAAACCTTTAGGTAAGAAAAGAATACAAATGGTGGACAATTTTATGGCTTTTACAATGTTCTGGTGTGAAGAATATTTTTGTATCTCTTCCAGAACCCAAATGTAGGAATTTGTTCCATAGATGCTGGAATTGCAGTTTTTGGAATTTAGTTTTCTAACAGAAAGGAAGTATCATGGAATGAACAGTAAACTGGATTTGCTTTAGGAAGACTGATTTTTAAGTCTTAGCATGAAATGGCCCATGTTGGGTCTCTTTCCCCCTGCCTATCCCAGGAACAGAGGTTTTTCACTCCACCAGGGTTGGAACTGAGGGGAGTAAAAAAGTGCTCTGTTACCTGGTGCTGTACAATCAATGCTCTCTGGACATGGCAAATGTTCCTCATGAAGGGGCTTTCATGTATTACTTTGAGGACTACCTTGTCAGGGATCACTTACCTACAATTCCTTTAAAGTTGTGACTATTTCCTTTGCAGCTGTTCGTGTGAACTTTTTGCGTAGCCCCTAGGCCTTCAGTGGTCCTCTCCCAATTTTCTTCGACTGCCCTTCTAGGTAGCTCTCCTGAACAAGGCTTAAGAACTCCAAAATGCTAGCAACCTCATGCTTTCTCTCTCTCTCTCCCCCTCTCTCTGTCTCTGTCTCTCTGTCTGTCTCTCCCTGAGACAGTGATCCATGTTGTATTGAAATGGTCTGTTTCCATTCTTTCCCCAAATATCCTGAAAACTCTTCGAGGGAAGGCATAGCATGTTATTTCTTGTAGCCTTCCTACTTACTAGAACACCAAATAGATACTGCTCACATGAATGAAATGCCACATTTATACCAAGATATTTGATTTTACCACCTAGTAAGTGTTTATATGTTTTCTGCTAAGTAAGATTAACAATGATCTGAAGTGAATGTACTAGGAAATGGTATACAAGAGATAAAGGTATGGGCTTTGTTGAATTCTCTCAGCTGTCCCAAATGTTTGCTGAGTGTCACTTGCTGGAAGGCTCTGGATATGGCTTCAATGTCTTTATTAGGAGTTCTGCCAAACTGAGTATTCCCTTTAGAATTTTCTGAGTAAAGAATTGCTATTTTCAATAGTATTAGAGAGTTCGGTTAACTAAGCTACATTAGTCTGTAGCTTTTTTGCATTCTCTAATTTATCTTCTTGAAAATAAGTCTGTTCTGTTCTGTTGTTGACTTCCCCACACTTTATGCTTCATTCATCCAGGAAACAGTGAATAAGCATCCACCAGTTAAAGGAACCCCTCAACCCTCAACTGGTGCCTGGGGTTGAGGGGAGTCATGCTCTTCGTAGTGGCAGTTTTGAGTGGGAAGGAGGGGTAGGCAGAGAAGAAGTTTGGACTTATTCCAAAAGATCATTCCAAGGACAAGAAAACTTTTCTTAGAATATTGGCCAGAGTTTGGCAGATCCAGAAATACAGGACAGTCTAGGATTCCTGGGATTACTGTGAATCTGAAAGACAGCAACTCAGTGTGAAAAATCTGAGATGAGATTGTCATCTCAGATTGTGTGAAAACAATCTTGTCTTTCCAAAATCATTAGAAACTAGAATGGCTTACATTGTTGGAAATCAAAGCCTTATAAATGGATAGAGAAAATAAGAACGCCCCCCCACCCCGCAAGTATTAAAAAGAGTACTTAAAATGCTTCCAATCTGATGTTAAGAGCTTCTTAAGTCCAAACTTGACAAGCTCTTTCCATTATTTAAAGGATTCTAGGATTTGTTGGTACAATAACTTAGAGGTGTCATATCTACTTCCAAATAACAGATTTCTGGAAGTTTATTAAAATGAAATAAGAACATACCAATATAAAGAATCAAAACAAATTTATATTTTGAAGAAATCTGATTTTAGTGTTTAAAGCTAATTAGTACATTGTATATATTATAAAAATATTTTTAGTATATTTTCATGAAAATGCTATAGACTTTTGTCTGTTGCCCAAAAAAATAGCTAATAATTCTTATATTTTTGTTTTCAGCCTATTCTTCAGAACAGTCCTTTAGTAGCTTCCTGAAAAATGAAAACAATACAAAAACAATTTTTAAGTAGTAATAGCATATAGCATAATTTAAAATATATTTCATTAATTTTAACTTTTCTCATTTTTATGGTATAGTTAGCAGTATTTCCAAGTTTACCCATTTAATGTTAGAATCAGTAATTTTTTTGTAGAAATTTATAGATTGTGGTGCTTATACAAGATTTTTTATTTTTCACATTCAAAAATGCACTTTTAAAATATAAGATCTTTTATTTAGTGAAACTTCATGATCCTCTTAAAAGTAATATATTATTAGTTCAGAATGCAAAGTTATAAAAGAACCCAGCATTTTAATCCATTAATAGTGTTTAAATTATCTTATATTCTAATTGAAAAATGGTAGTTTATTTAGTAGCAAAGGAGAAGCCATTGATTAATCTTCTTATTTGGAAAAGTTCCTGGAAAAAACTCAGGAGCTACATCGTTTACTAATTATTTGAGAACAGAATTATATTAATTTGGTAAAGTACCAAAGTTGTCAGGAGTAAGCAGGATGAGAGTCAATAAAGATTTTTGCACGTAATGAGGCAATGCAAAATTCACAAATATATATGGAGCAATACTTAGCTAATTAGACCTTGTATTTTAATGCTTCTGAGAAAAAAAAATAAAATGAATTAAAGAAATGCTTGTCATTCTATTATAAAATAAACAATTGGTCTTACTTTTATTACTATTCTGGAGACAAGAAAACTGGCATAAAAGTAATGTAAAACCCCCTGTCTATACTCAGCTATAAGAGGCCAGGACAAGGTCTCTGCAAACCATGCTTCTCCTTTGACCACTGGACTCCAATTAATTTTTTCCATTAGGAGAGAAGAAAGGATTTCCTTCTTCTTGTTTTCTGGCTGTTCCTGAGACACCAGTAGTTTGTTTCAGCCTGCAGTTTGTTTTGTCACTTCCAGACCCAGCCTTGCTATGTCCCCTGATCCTTTATATTTAAATTTAAAATCTAGTCTTGGCTTTTATTGCTCAATATGATTTAGTATTATTTTAAATTGTTACTTCACCTCAAATTCTTCCTCAACTTTGTTATACAGTATCTCTTATGTGATTTTTTTCACTAAACTGTCAGAAACTATCCCTCATTAAATGAACTGAAAACTGATTAATATATTCCAATAAAAACTCTTTACAATTTGCCTACAATACCCCTACTCAACATCTCCCCTTAAGTCAGAGGTAAAGACTCAACTTTCACTTTCAAGATTTAAAATCAAACCACATTTTTAGTACTTATAATATGTAAGGCATACAGTCCTGTAAGTGCTCACAATTTGGTAAGGAAGATATATTTGAATATAAGCTTAATACAAGTACATTACAGAAAGGACTATAATAATGATACAAACACAAAGTGCAATTGGAGACCAAGGGAGAGGAGAATTAAATGTAGAGTGGGAAGGAAGAAGGGAAACCTGCTGGATGAGGTGGAATTTGAGCAAGACCTAGAAGGATGCTGTGAGAGGTAACCTTGGTGATTAGAGGCTGGCAGCCAAGGTATAGATATAGGGGATATGTGGGATGGAGAGAATTCTTTCTGGAAATGATTTGGTAAAAGGAGGCAGTCTTCAAAACTGTTTCAAGGTCTTTGACGTTGATACTGTTTTTTGCATGTAGTGAGGAATAGTTGAGGATTTGAGATTACTGTTAGCTTTACGTGACCTTAAATCTGACAGCAATATGGAGGATAGGCAAAAATGGCAAGGCATTAACTGAGAAGGGGTAGCTGGAAAAGTATGTTTGTAAGGAAATGATGAGGAATTATGTGGTAAACATGTATAACTGAAGATGTTTTATTCTACTGTCATTTTTTCCTTGCTCCTATCATGTCCCTGTTCTTGAGTGCCTTTTCCCTCCCTCTCCAAATCTTACACATTTTATACAGTCCCAACTTTCATGTGTTCCTAATGCAATGACATTTGCAATCATCTCTAATCATATAGAGACCTCTCCCCTTTATTAATCTCTCTAATATTCAGTGTCTCTGTCTGCCTGTCATTTCTGGTACTAGCACCGTTATTATCCTTAGTGAAACTACACCTGCACCATTCTCAGTACCTTACCCCATGTGACCCAGGCCAAGCTAATTAGAACGCTGTGGCCACAGTGATTGGTTCAGGAATGGGCATGTGACCCAAGGCAGGTCAATGACATAGCTTTGGGGCTTTTCTCTGGAACCGTTGGGAAAAAGGTTAGCTTTTTCTGTATTGGTTGATGGGCTGGCAGAAGATGTTGGTGGGTACCTTTGTAATGAGGATTGGGGGTGGTGAGGAGTCAGCCTGGAAGTGAAGCCAACAACAAAGAGAGTAGAGCCAAGAGAATAAGAGACAGAAGTTCTAGAAGATACCATTTGAGTCCTTAGATCCAACTGTTTCAGAAACTTCTGGACTCCTCAGTTAAGTGATCACTTTACTAGCTAGATCATTTCAAGCTAAGAATCTGCATCTTGCAACTCAAAAAGAGTTCTGACATGACCTGCACTTTTGTTTCACCACATTATTTATTTATTTATTGAAGTACGTATTTATTTACGTACATATTTATTTATTTCATTTATTTATTTTGACAGAGTCTTGCTCTGTCATGCAGGCTGGAGTACAGTGGCGGGATCTCAGTTCGCTGCAGCCTCCACCTCCCGGGCTCAAGCGATTCTCCTGCCTCAGCCTCCCAAGTAGCTGGGATTACAGTTGCACACCACCATGCCCAGCTAATGTTTTTATATTTTTAGTAGAGATGGGGTTTTGCCATGTTGGCCAGGCTGGTCTCCAACTCCTGACCTCAGGTGATCCACCTGCTTCAGCCGCCCAAAATGCTGGGATTACAGGTGTGAGCCACTGTGCCCAGCCTTGTTTCACCACATTCTTACAGACCAACATGTAGTGAATAACATTTTCCATAGGTTGTCTTGTCTCTGCCATTGAGGCTGTTACTTTCTCTTTGTGTACACAGTGATATCATGCACAAGAGCTGGGCACACAGCCTTTATCCAGTAAACACTGGTACTTCAATATGTGGAGAAATACTGTATTAATGGACTGTACTTACTTAAAGTTATCTTCAAAGTTGAAACTGCAGCCATAAATATTTCCAAGAGCCACATTCTTCCAATCAGACAGCTAATTACTACAGTCATTATCTGGGCATATGTACCCACAGTTGATGCTTTGCTGTTGCTGCTGCTGCTGCCACTGCTGCTGCTAGAGACAGACTCTGCCAGCAGACTGAAAGTTCTGGATTCTACCCAAACAACGTTATCCAGTATAAATTCAATCTTGTAATTTTTTCCTGGAAAAAAAAAGCATCATAGTGTTTGATTTCCTTTTATGTTTTACTTGTTTTCATATAGTTCCCATTTGATTTTCATTGACTGAAAAACACTATATAGATCCTGATGAACTATTTTTGAAAGTTGAGTCAAATAAGTTAGTTTAAGTACAGACAAGTATAAACAGGGTCTCAGAGTTAGAAGAGTTCTATCTGTCCATTAACTGAACAACAGGGAAGCTAGGTAGATTTTCTTTCTGTGGCAGCAGTACCTGCTTCTTAGAGCCCCTTCCTAGTGCCCAGGACTGGACAAAGACTGTTAGAAAAGAAATGAGGGACAATAGGGAAGAGAGATGAGGGTGCTGAATCTCAGTTTCATCCCTTCGTAGTTGACCTAGGAGTAGAGAAGCATCAGTCTCAGTTGGGGGCAGTGGGGATGGATACTGAACTTTTTATTTTGAAAAATTTCAAACAAGAAAAGAGTTGAAGGAATAATACAGCAAACAACCATATGCCCTCCATTCGGATTCAAAAAACTTTTACCGTGTTTCACATTTGTTTGAAGTTAGATGCTATTTTTGTATTACAAGGCTGTGACCCTTTTTCCTTACTCCGGGTAGACATTTTAGAAACATTGTTACTTGTGTTTAGAATGTAAAAAGTTAAAGAGCTCATCCAATATTATTTAATCTCCAGGTTAAGTCTTCCCACAGTTTTGAATAGGAGATAACCAATATATTTTTCCTTGCTATAATTTCTTTTGGGTCTGTTGCTATCATTTATAATAGTCATCACGCAGAATAGCATTTCTAATACTTGTACAGCCCTGTAAGTTTTTACTCATCTGTTTTCTCTGTTATTTGTTTTTAAAAAGTCATTTCTGTTTTCATTCTTTATTTAGGAAGAGAATATAATTAGATCTTGATCACATCTGTGGTTTTATGAACAATTGCAATTCATTGTATAACTTTCAGGATATATGGGCACTGTACTATAGAATTTTCTGTCACTGACAATTCCTGACAATGGTGTATTAAATTTTTTTTTCTTTTTGCATTAAAAAATCTGAATTTTTGTGGCAGGTGAGTTTTTTTTATTAATTTTCCTGATGCACAAATAATTTAGGGTAGTCCTTTTATTTTGTTTTTCTCCTCTGGAAGTACTGTGAAGAAGCCCAAGCTAGCTTTATGGAAAGACCACATAGAGGAGAACTGAAGAACCCAGCCGAAATCCAGAATCAGGTCCATAGAGATATGACCTCAATTAAACCATCTTAGCCAGCTCTAGTTAACAGAAAATCCCAGCTGAAGCCCCAGACGTTGGAGCAGTGATGAGCCATCCTGGCCCAAATTTCTGACACACACAATTGTGAGCAAATGAAATGGTGTTATTAGATTTGGGGCTGGTTTGTTACATAGCAATAGAAACTGCAACAAGCACTAAACATTACACAGGATGCTAAACAAATATGTCCCAGTGTCTATTAGTAATACTGTCTTTATCTAGGTTGGTTAAAGATGCAGATTCTTTTTCTCCCACCCATTTCTCACATCACCATTTTCTGTGTTAGAAACCACAACCCATATCTCCTCTACCCAAATACTCTGCTTTGCTCTTTATGGTGCTATATGTAGAAGAGGGGTGCTGTGCTGTCAGGCCACAGTCTGATCAGCAAGGGGATTTCCTTCAGTGCAGTGACTGTGGGGCTTACCTGTTAGAAAGAGTCAGTGAAAGATATTTTGTTAATTTTCTCACTAATGCTTTGTTGTTGTTATAATTTTACTGTGGTTAATCTACAAACTGGCTAACTGATTTAAAAATAATGAAGAGATCCCTATACTTGGCTTTCCCTATTGTACATAACCAGGTAACTGAGATGCCACACTTGATGAAGAAAAAAGGAGAGAGAGAGAGAGAGAGAGGAAGAGGGGAGGGGAGAAGGAGCGGGTAAGAGAGACGACAGAGGGGGAGGGAGGGAAGGATGGAAGGAAGGAGAGAGGGAGGAAGGAAGGGAGGGAGGGAGGGAGGGAGGGAAGGAAGGAAAGGAAGGAAAAGGAAACACATAGGTGAAGAGCCCTGGTACTTCTCCATGGCAAGTAAGACAGACACTCCCAAGGGAAGCTTTGAATTCTGAAAAAAACTTAATGTATGAAAGAAAATGCTTAAATTATTATTTTGTTGCCACAGTAAAATGCCAAAACCTATTTTAGTGCCTTAATGCCCCAGTGATCCTGGGTACTTTTGGAACATTGTAGTTTGAAGACTTTGGTCACAAGGTTGGTTCATTGCCACTGGGCACTTATTGGGTCCACCCTCATGAGGAGGTGAACAAACTTCTTTTCAGGTAGGGTTCTTGCCAGCTGCCTCATTTCCCATAAAAAAAAATTCCATTTGGGCTCATAGTTAAAAGAATTTAGCTCTGCTCTTAACCAGAAAGCAGTGGGATACAAGGTACTTGTCTAGGAGCACACCATTGAACTAATTGTCATTTAATTATTAGCAAACATTAGGCTGAGATATTGCTGCCCAGTAGGAAGACTGAACATGTCTGGTGTAGGGCACTAACAAAATCATGGAGAAACAAAAATTCAGGGAAAAAAAGTGGGGCGGGGGTGCCACTACATAGCCTTTTCAGAAGTTAAGGCCCCTGACTGTCTTAAATAGGTCCTGGGTTGGGAGAAATAGAACAATGGAGGCCTTTCTCAAATGTAAGCAGTTTATCCATTTCATTCTTTTAGATACTCTACATTCTATCACCAAGCGAGATCTGTTTGGGGATATATTATTTGGTCCCTGGTAGAATGGTTTTTACTAGTCCGAGTTGTGTCATCAACCTGTATGAAGATAGTATAAAAAAACGTTAATTGTGGCAGTCATGGCTGTATTTCCTGCACCGATGTTCAAGATATTACTTAATAGAAATTAATTGTGCACACTTTCTGAAAAATCACAGGGGACATTTGTTCTGTTCTCAGAGAATATTATAATTCTCCACAGCAACTGGTCTGTTTATTTGATGGGTACTGTAAATTATGATAATGCTCATTTTCTCTTTTGCTTTGGCTTTAAGACCACAGCCAACTTTCTAGCCCAACTCTGAACTCCTCCTTTAAGACATTAAAGTTATATGAGCCTACCTTATCCTTTCTTTTATTGAATTTGAAAATCCATATGTTAATTTTTCTTACTGTAAATGTAATACATCTTTAGTAAGCAAATTTAGAAAAGTATACAAATGGATAAATCATGATATAATTTTGATTTCCTTAATTTTTTATTTTAATTTCTATTTTTTTCACATATTAAATCTACTCTTAAGCTAGACTAAATATTTTCTGAAACAAGGCAAAATATAGCATTCTGATATCTATAGTTTATTCACCAGAGTGTTACCGAATGTTTTGTTCATTAAAAGACCATTATAATTGTCTCTGCTTAGGTTATATATGTGAGGATCCAAACTAGTGCACCCACCTGTTCTAAGGGGAGTAAGGTCTGTGTAATTGGCCCAACAGCTGCTAAACGGAATTGTTGTATTTCCACTAAGGCCATTGACTTGGTTATTATTGTAGTCCTTGAGTATGGCCCTCAAAGTTAGTGCAGTAATTCCAACTGATACACAGTTACCCTAAAAAAAAAAAAAAAGTAGAGAATTATAACAATTGTTCTGTTTCCATGCTTTTAAAAATATATGCAAAACTTTATTTTCAAAAATGCCTCTTTATAAATTGAAAAGCTGCAGAAGCTCCTTGTTGCACACACAGAGTTCATAAATCTGAGCAGCAGAAGTTCATTTAACATCAGCATTTTTAAGACAGTACAAGATGGCACCCTTGGATATTAGTCCAGCTTCTAAAGGGGCTGGGCGATCCTCAGGCTGCCAGCACACCAGGATGAGTGAAACTGGCTCATCCTTCAGAATTTGTAGCTTAATTCCTTCACTTAAGTAAAATTTTGAGTTATGACTTACGTCAGAATCTGTTGCCTTTACCGAAGGCTGCTGAGGAAACGGCTGTCCCGGCTGTGCTGCCACCGGCTGAGTGATCACTAAGAGTGAGGACACGAAGGCCACATGATGAACAGGAAACGCAGACCTTTCAACTGGCTGGGCAGTTACCTGTGAATGCACAAGGGATGAATTGGTTTCTAGGTGATAAACTATACTCAGCAGCAAACTCATTTTAGCCAGGCTGAGTGTAATATATTCATTATTTATTTTAAAATATGCTCATTATGTAAAATTAATATAATTACAATATTTCCTCCATTAAATTTATGAAGCATTGTTATAAATATGCAAAGCAAAGCAAATTTAGAACCAATACACAACTTTTGGAAGATATGCTCCTTTGTTCAAACAACTTTATTATCATTTTAGCGAGCCTATGAAAAGTCAACAATAAATAAGAAATACATGCCTTCTAAATTATTGTTTTGAAATAGAAACAGACAGTTAAAATAAGAAATAAGTAATGATATTTTAAGTCCTGAAAAATGCATTTTTTCTAGTTGCATTTTCTTACCTTAATCCAGCCAGAGTCACTTGGTCTGGGGAGGGGATTAGTAATAGTCATGGATGAAATGTTAAATCCAAGGATACTACTGATTTTTCCTGAAATTACAGCTTGTCCAAGAGAACCAGCAATTTCCTGGAGTTCAGATAATTGCATCTGACCTGTAGGGAAACAGTATGGTGACATTTGGATTATAAAAGCATAGAACTGTGAAAACACATGAGAGTTTTTCACTTTAGCTTTCTTTGCATTGCTCCATTGCATTATAGAATTCCAAGGCTTTCTGATCTTCCCTGAGCAAAACACAACAGTCATATTAATGAGGGGAGGAAAAGGAAGAGCTCAGGAGAATATACTTTAAGTTGGAATTAAAGGAAAAACAAAGGTAGATAAAACAGATACAACAAAAACGAATGAAAACATAGTGGGAGAATATATGTCTCTTAATTTAATACTTTCTCATACCAATCTTTCTTTACCAATGAAGCATTATCATGCATTTCTATTATCATATGTCATTTTAAAAGATAAAGTGTTAATTTTGGAATGGAAGGATTGTTAGAATCTATCATATTATGTGTATGTATTCATATATTAGTTGCTAAAGTTATTAAATTACTAACCAATTGTTACTGGCTTCGGACATTTGACAATTCTCAGTTACTTTTAACACTACATATAGTTTCTGTTCCCCTTTTCTAGCATGGCAGGTCTAGGGTTTCCTCTTAAACCTTCTGCCCCCATAGTGCTCCTTACCTTATAAAGTGGTACCGTCATGCACCATATTCCCTTTTTCAGAAGCCTGGTAGTTTTGCTTAATCCCTGCTCCTTCACCTCTCCACTACGCCACATCTAATCCATTACCAATTTCTAAATCTCTCTGTCCCTGCTGTTAAAGTCCTAATTAAAGCCACATCAGCAGGGTTACTAAAACCACCTTTAATCTGACTCTCTGGAGTCAGACTGATCTTTTAAGAAACAACTGTAAAACAGGATAACGTTTTGGTGTATTGCAGGCCTTGCTAACCCCTTGTTCCTAGGTATCCTGTACCTTCTATATCCAGAGTCACGCCTTGAGGAATCAAATCACTGAGTTTCTTCTGTTAAAGTTAAGCCATAAAGTTTAGAGTACTCAGGAAGAAGAAGGTAACATCTTGGGCCAGCAGGTCTGACATGACACTATGAACCCCACAGTCCTAAGCCATTTCATTCCTTGTCAGTTTAAAAGGACTCTTTTGGATGATGCAGACTCTTTTGGAAAAAGGCTCAGTCTTTCAGATTCCTCCCTCTCCTCATACTCCCTCCAGAAACAGCCTTCTCCAAGGGGGCCTCCCAAGTCTGAGGGCTTGTGTATCTAGCTGTAGCAGTACAGAACTGCTTCAGGTCCATGCACTACTACTACTACTTTGTCTTCACTGGTTTTTGGCATGGAATGGCAGGTCTGATCCGGTCTGCACTGTTAACAGGTTCTCGCTGACCATTTGACATGTGAGGGCATTCATTTCTGCTGATTGCCATCTAGAAACCAAAGACCTTAACTTGAAGGCCTCTTATTCCTGACTCTAGAATTCTGTCTGCTCATAAGTGCCTTTAATACATAGGTAACCCCTTTCTAAGACATCTGGGAATTTCTGGATATCCTGATACTATATAAAAGCTATAAGAAGCCAGGAGTACAATTACATGAACATCTTTCTTGCCATTTCTCAACATTTTGTTGTGATTCACCACGTTGTAGGGTTCTCCTTGAGACTTGAAACACTATCCCAGTCTATGACTGGAAAGCATGCCATTAGCTTGTCCCTCCCACCATCCCTAACTTCTACATTCTTCAATGGTCTTATACCTGTCTGGATACATCTAACAAACTAGAACAGATTTAAGGGTACGGACATAGTAGGGATTGTATGTGGGGAAATGTATGTCACATGTAAGAAATAAATCCCAGTTTCTTTGGATATCTAGTGGCTAGTATGATAAATTTTGGACCTCACAATACGTAAGGGCTCACCAGGGATTTCTAAGAGTAGGTGAGTAATCTGTATATGTGCCATCGACCCTCTACAACTCCTAAAGTAACAGGCAAAGTCCTGCTGAGTCCAAATCCTGAGCCTGTAAGTCCAAGTGAATACAGAACTGACGAAGGAAAGTTAACTATGACTCTGGGCAGAGAACATTGTGGGAGATCTGGTTGCAACACAAGCCTATGCTTCCTACGCTCTTCTAACCAAGAGTTTATAAACACCTCCCTCCATGCAGGCAAGCCTTCCCACAGGCTTATCCCCCAATGGAAGAAACTTCCGCCTGCTTAGCTGGTAGAATTCCAGAGTGATAATATGGTAGGTGCATAGAGTCAATGCCTAGAAGCAAACCTCTTGAGAAAATCAGTGACGATCCCTAGTGGCATAAAATGAGAACTCCACCCAGTACCCAGGTTTACACAGAGCCTAGGAGTTTAATGATAAAGTGACTGAAGACAGGTAGATAGGGTAGATCCCAACCTTGTGGGGCTGCAGTTTATACACATCTGGAAGATCTCTTTAGGAAAAGGAATGCAGAAAAATCATACCTTTATAGCTTTCATAATAACATTCAATGATTTGACCACATTATGAGGACCTCTCCTAAGGTACTGAAAGTGAAAGCCCCTCCCAGGACTTGTATCAGTAAGGGGACTTGAAGCGTAAGCTTCATAAGCTGGATGGTAGATCTTCCTCTGACAGATACCTGCCTCCCCTATTCTTGGGGAGGGGTACACCTAGGTCAGAGTACTTGTGCTTGACCACTGAAGACAAAGGCATGGCTGCAGGTTAGCAGTGGGGGATGTTATTGCATGCCAGAAGACCAGGAAAGTTCAGTAGTACCTCAAGAGATGCATATGTAGAGCAGAGAAGTTGACCCACTCTGTAGCAGAGGCTGTGAAGACAAGATGATAACACGAGGATGGAGGCCAGGACAGCCCCTTGGTATTCAGACCCCAACTTGAAAGGAGCAGATGGATAGAGAAAATTTGGAGAGCTGAGCATTTACCCAAGTGCCCAAACTGAGTAACGCTAAGGAAATGATTTAAGTCAGCAGAGATTTCTCTGATGGGACAGTTGAGCTTATTTTTTATCTCTGATAAAAACTAGAAAGTGAGGGACACAAAGAGGGGATGATGGCTCATGAGGATGATTTGCTCAGTCACAGGAAATAAAGACAGATTATGTACTTGCACATCTGCCCTTGTTAGGGTGAACCTGTGACTTTACCATGGACATCTAACTCACAGCTCCACTGCTCAGAATATCCAAGTATATCTACTCTTTTTCTTAAGAAAATATCCACAGTCCTTCCTTTGACTTCCAAAGCTCTCCACGTCTAGCACCTGTCTAGCCCTCGGCTACACCTCCAGCAGCTTGTCCTTCCTGGCTCCTTCCACTCCAGACCAATTGGACCTGTTTCCTCTCTTCAAATGCACCAAACTCTCACCAACAGTTTCCATAGCCTGAACACTCTTTTTCCTCTGTCTTTTCATTGACTATCTTCATCCTTAATCTCTCATCTATAAGGTCACTTGCTTAAGTAGGTCTTCCCAGATCTTTTTATATTAGATCAAATTCTTTTGTTGAATTTATTAATCATCACAATAACAAAACAGAGATTCAAATTCCTTCCAATTCTAAGAGTTTGGTAGTACAGGAAAAAGGGTCTCTAGGCGCGTAGGAGGGTTCAGGATGTGGGGTTGATGGGACTTCCTGAGGCCTGGCTTGCCAGGCCCTGATCAGGTTATTTATGGATGTGGATTTGGTAATTGCATTCCTCCATCTCAAACAACTGTTATTCATACCTGTGGTGCCATTGCTTAAGAACTGAATAGGAGGGTTTCCAATCTCTATTTCAATTATGAATTCCATGGATCTCTTCCTTCTCAGACTCTTCCCTCTTATCATTTTGCTGATACGGATTTTGTCACTTGGTATCTTTAGGAACAAGGCAAGATTTCTAACCAGATTGTGAGAGGTATAAAAGTCATCTTCTGTTGCAGCAGGTAATTGGAAAGAAACAAATATCACTGTGGCAGTGTGAATTTCAACAGGTATAGTTCCTTTAACCAAAAGATAAAGCAGCTGGTAGGTTCTATCAAAGTAGTTTTCACCAAGGACAGTGGAATCCAGGTTAGGAAGAAATTGGTCTATGAAGGAAAAAAGCCAGAACAGCACAGCTAAGTATTATATATTATCACAATCAACATGCATAACTTAATGTTTATTTAAATTTAGAAAATCCCCCCAAAATTCAACTTTATCATTCTTTCACAAGAAAGCATACCTTTTAAAAACAAAAACACTTATAGAACTGACTTGTGAAATTAAAGCCACTCCTTTAAAAAATACCACAAATAATCATTACACATTGTTTGTTTTAAAAAATAATTAGCTATATAGACACAGTATAAATGAGAAACAAATTGAGTTATGATCCCAGGAGCCTATACTGTACTTGAAACACTATTTCCATGCTCATGATTTTAAAGACTTGACTGAAGGCATTTGGTAATTTAAAAATATAAATTTAACTTTACTAGTTATCTAATTTATGCAGTGCTATATGCCAACTCTTAAAAGAGCATTTACAATTCAGTGTTTCTATTTTAACTAAGGACAAAACTGTGTAATATAAATGAAGTATATGTTAAAACATCTCAGAAGAACCTTATACCAACTAAACAGACTTACATTTCAGCCTGAAAAAGTTTGGTGAATGCAAAACAAACTCTGCTAGGGAACTGAATTTTACAAAAGTGATTGAGATCATTATAATGAATGAATAAATATGTATTATTTTATGGCAGAGTATCAACAATGTCTAAGAGCTAATAAACCCACTAACACATGTTGAGCCCAGACAAACGCTGAATTGTGTAATAGTGGTGGTATGAGATATGTAGCTTCTTACATTTCATTGTGAGGCTTACTGGGAAAAAGAAATTAAAATTTTAGGAAGAAGAAGGAATTTCACAGTAATGAAAGAAGCAGAGACAAAGATAATAAAACATTTGGGTAACCCCCAAAGTATGTATAGGTTCATAACACAGGGATATTATTTTGCATTCCAAGTGCCAAAGCAAAACGCTCACTTAAAAGCAATGCTGTTTCAGAAAAACACCACTACCACTACCATAAAACACACATTTATCTGTAAGAGGGCAGTGGTAGAATTGTTTTCCAGCTCTTCAGCACCTACATTATCAATTCTTTACATTATATTCTGTCTATGGAGAACAAAATAATATCCCTGTGTTATGGATCTATACATATTTTGGGGTTTTGGAAATGTTTTATTAATTTATGTCTCTGCTTTTTTCATTACTGTGAAATTCCATCCTCTTTCTAAAATTTTAATTTCTTTTTCCTAATAAGCCTCACAATGAAATGTGGTAAGAAGCTAAATGTTTTATTCCACTATTAATTATACAATTCAGCATTTGTCTGGGCTCAATATATGTTAGTGGAACTCTCTGCCTAAGAAGATAGTTCCTATTTTCCTGACTCTGAATGATATTGCGCTTGGTACCATATGTGTTATTTGAAAAGAGTGAAAATTTTATTAAAATTAAGCTATAAATGCCATTTCATTCATGACACAACTATTTATATATAAAAAGTAGTAATGCCGACTCTCTTAATTTAAAAGAAGGCAATATAGCATAATGGTTAAGTGCATGGGTTTTAGAGCTAGACTGTTTTTGAGTCCTTGTTGTGCACCATACTAGCTTAAGACTGCTATGGACTGAATTGTGCCCCCATATTTCACATGTTGAAGCCCCAGCCTTCAAGGTGATGATATTTGGAGATGAGAGCCTTTGGGAGGAAAGAGGGTTTAGATGAGATTGTGAAGGGGGAGACCTCATGATGGAATTAGTGCCCTTCTAAAAGGAGACACCAAAGAACTTGCTCGCATCACAGTCTCTCAGTCATGTCAGGACACAGCAAGAAAGTGGCCATCTGCAAGCCAAGCAAAGAGTCCTCAGCAGAACATGACCATCATGGCACCCTGATCTCAAACTTTCAGATATCCAGAGAAAATAAATTTCTGTCGTTTGAGCCACTCAATCTGTGGTATTTTGTTATGGCAGACTGAACTAAGACTACTATCTTGGCAAATTACTTCCTGTGTCTCAATTAGCCATCTGTGCCTACCTCAAAGAGTTACTATGATGTAGTAACAATGAGTTAGGCATAAAGCATGTAGAGCTGTGCCTGAAATATATTAATGTCTCTGGAAACATTAGCAATTCATGTTATTAATAGGAATATGACTTCTTCTATAAAAGCAAACAGATTACCCATTCATATTTTCAAGTCTAGCTCATATTATGATCTACCACACACATCTATATAATGGTTAGCTAAGATTATGGATCACATCAAAAGATGAGGATGAATAGCCCATGTGGAATGGAATGTATGCTATTGGCCTCATTAGAATCCTGTTTAACAAAAAGACTTACATAAGCAGATATAAATCCTGGTTTTACAAATATTGGTCAATGAATAAGTTTAGCCTCTTCCATATGTTTCATTTAACAAAAGTTTATTTTATCATATTTACTTCAAAACCTTTAGTTGATGTTATATTAGCTTTCTTGGCAATAATTCTTATGACCGCCAATTAATTTAGTCTCTAACCTCTATGAAATAGAAGTAAAGTCAAGATAAGGTGAAAATTTTAAGCAAAATCTCTTCTGAACATAGGAAGGACTGAATTCAATGTATGCGAAATGAAAACATTCTTAGGAAGCAAAAGAATGCCCATGATAAACAAAAACTCATACCTGCATGTGCACAGATAAATAAGTTTCATTAGGAGTGATCTTTCAAGACACTCATGTTACAAATGAACACATCTTAGTATTTGGTGGACTATGGCTAAAAACTTGTTTTCTTCTGCATTATCAATAGATAAAGAATTAAAAATACTAATAATCAGACATTTAAAATGTTACAAATAAGTACATATTCCATGTGTACTGTATTTTTTGAGAAAATACCTTTGTACAGATGGTTATTAAGTTCACAGTGTTTCTGCTGGGCATTCCATATTGTATTTTTTGGACAGACCAATGAGTTGTTCACATAGACATCCAAACGTTGAAGTGTGGAAAAGAAAATTCCTACTAGAACAGCCTATTAAAGAAAAAAAAGTTTTGTCTTAAGAAAGCAATAAAACAGAATATTTGTAATTTAGCACTTAAACCATGCTTCAATATTGTATACTTTCTGCAAACTATTAAAACTAAGTTTTGGCCGGGCGCGGTGGCTCCCAGCACTTTGGGAGGCCGAGGCGGGCGGATCACAAGGTCAGGAGATTGAGACCATCCTGGCTAACACGGTGAAACCCCGTCTCTACTAAAAATACAAAAAATTAGCCAGGCGAGGTGGCGGGCGCCTGTAGTCCCAGCTACTCCGGAGGCTGAGGTGGGAGAATGGCGTGAACCCGGGAGGCAGAGCTTGCAGTGAGCCGAGATCGCGCCACTGCACTCCAGCCTGGGTGACAGAGCGAGACTCCGACTGAAAAAACAAAACAAAACAAACAAAAACCTAACTTTTATGGTTTTGGGATAAGTGATGAACTAAAATTTTAAAATGGGCTTACATTCAACCTTTCATACAGATAGTACAACTTAACCCTTAATTGACCATTCTCAATAGAAAAGTACAAAAAGATAAATTATTAGATGACTATCTCTAAGTTTAAAAAAAGGGTCATTTAAAAGACAACAAAGGACAATACAGACTTTCAATGTCAGGAGCAGGGAAAGGGGGACTTAGCTGTACTCTGTATAATGCAGCCACACAAAATTAGGTACTTCATGTTGGAAAAAAAAATGCTCATCTCTGAGAAAAATTTGGTAGAAAGACTAATAAATGTCAAAATAACTATCCTCTCTGATTCAATTTTATTCATTTTTCATGTTTATGTTGCTTACATTTCATGCTATCAGCTATGATCATAAAGAGACTGGCTTTTCCAAGAGCAGGGAAGGATTAATATGGATTTTAATAAGCTATACATAGTTCTGGAATCTTCTTTTGATATTGTCTTCAGAGGCTCAGAATATTAACAGTCACATTACTTTGTAGTCACCATTCTCATTTTTAGAGTTAAAATATTCTCTTCTGAATTTTTTAAAAAGAAAATTTTGAGTTCCTATTTCAGCCATGCGGTATTCTAAGTGCTGGCAAGAGCCACTGGCTTCTTTGAGCTTATATTCAAGAGTGATGAGAGACAAAAAATAGAAGTAATAAAAGGTAAAGTAGGAAACATGGTAGATAGTGATGAATCTTGTGGAGAAAAGAAAAAATGTAAATCAGGGTGCGTGCAACTTGGGAGAGCCAAGGAAGAAGGCATGATCTTGGAGGCCTATTGAGAAAGTGGAATCTGAGGCGACAGGAACTTTAGCCGCTTAGGGTAGAGTGTTTTAGGCTAAGGCAACATGAGAAACATAGGCCTAGGGGGTAGCATGTTTGGTGTCCCTAGGAACAACAAGGAGCTCAGTGGGGCTGGAGGAGTAGAAGAAGCCAGAGAGCTCAGGGATGAGAGAGATTCCCATAGGGCCTCACAGGTCATGGTGAGGATTCTAACTCTTGGACAGAGACCAATAGGGAAATTGTTACAGGGTTTGAGGCATGGGAGAGACGTGATCTGACATATTTTCAAGGTATCTGGCTACTAAGTTGGGGACAGACTATAGAAGGGCAAAGGTGGAAGTAGAAAGAGGAATTGGGAGGCAATTACCATGATGCAGGAAAGGCTCAAACTGGATAGTAGCAGTGGAGGTGGTGAGAAGTGGACAGATTCTGGTATTTTGAAGACAGACTCAAAACAACTTGCAGATGGATTGGATGAGGAATGTGAGCAAAAGAGAGGAGTCAAGAGTGCTTCCAAGGTTTTATCTGGTGCGAAGGGATGGAACTGCTGTCTCCTGGGAAGGGGCAGGTGCCTCCTTCCCTTATTCCTTTCTCGGCTTCACCTTATCAGCATTCTTTCTTCACATTAAACACCCTGGGACTTTAAAGTCTCATATTCTTAGAAAAGAAAATCTGAATTATGACACTACTGGTTAAACTCATACTCTTTTCATACTAATTAAATATAAATTTAATGATCCTGTCCGAGTTCAGTTTCTAGCAAAGACTTGACATTATTGAAGATATTAAAAATAACATGCTGCAGTCTCTGAAGTAAATTCCAAAGGTGTATTTCTGACATATATAAGTAATAGCAGCATTGAAGAATAAGTATATAATTCCAAGTGATCAGTTTTGAAGGTACATTATTTTTATGTAAAAATTAGGTTTGCTTGTTAGTCATGCAAATCATAGGCATCACTGTCATGCCTCATGTATGGAGCACCAAATCAAGTGCATATGGCAAGGGGATGATGGTGATGCTTGGTATTTGTACCTTCAGGCTAATGAAAACTGTCTAGACTAATAATAATTTCAGTGGTACCCTGATGCATCCTTGGAAATGGGCTGTAAGGCTGACAATGCTAGAATAAGGGAGGAGATACAAGTCTTAGCAGATAGAAATAACATGCAAATAATCAACAGCAATTACCCTTAAGATATCTTGTCCTACCTTATTATGGTCAACATTAAGCAACATCAGTCGAAGATTCTGAGGACTGGTGCCAGTGAAGTAAACTTCATAAGATGTGTTCAGAGCCACAATGCTGTGAAACAGGGATAGCCTTCTCTGGCATGTATATCCAGCACACCAGCCATGATCCTGTGGGCCTAAATCCATGTAAAATGAAAGTGCATATTCCTATATAATGCATTTTATTAGTATAAAATCTGAAGAGTAATTGTATTTAAAATAAATTGCCGTGGTCAAGTTCAAATGCAAGTTCAGCATTTATACCTATTACCCATCCACCGTTACCCAGCCAGCTAAGCTATTTCTCAAACCTTGGCTTAAAAAGGAAGGCAGAGAAGAAACTTCTTCCTATCACCCTTACTTTTACACTGCCTAGGGTAAGAAGGGTGGTAATAAGAATTTGTATTGGAAGGTCACTGAGAGAAATAGTAGATTTGCATATATCTCTACTTTAATGATAATATTCAAGCCTAGGCCACATGGTGAGGAAGAAAATGCTTGATCCTTTCTCCTCCCTACCAAATAAAAGCTTGAGTGGGAATTGAACTTTCTCAGGCTCTTTGTTAGGAAATGTGCTATAACAGAGTTAGTTTGTTACCAATAGGCTCTGTACCTGGAAAACAGGGACATCTGAATGCCTGAACCATTGATTCATTAATTCATTCTTTCACTCATGCACTTGTTTTTTAAAAATAGTTAATTTATAAATTCAGCAAACACATTCATCTAATCAAGTCATTAATCTTCCTCCATTTTAATTTTAATTTAAGAAATTTTTGTTGACAATTGTTACTACAGGTACCATTAGAGTGTTAAAATCATTAATTAACTGAAGCTACCCAAGAAATAACACTCCATCAAACCCTCTAGAAAGCCAAGAAATAGTGAATGCTTTTCTCCCTGAATCCAAACATTTTCTGAGCAGGTTTAAAATGACTTTCATAACAAACTTCTGTATTTCACTTAGTTTTAAAGTGGCTGAGATTATACATATATAAAACATTGAGTGAAATATGGAATGAATTTTATTGATGTATTTATTCATTAGGTTTTCTTTATTTCCTAGCTTACTTGGAAGTATTATCAATATTTATAACTACACTTCAATCAAATTTTAAATCAATATAAACTTCTAAAGCTCCTGTAGAGCCTAACCTTTTCCTTAGCATACAAAATACAAATCCTACTTAACTTTCTTTGTGAGTTTTGAAAACATAAAGAAATATCTATGTATAACATAAAAATTTAAAGTGGCAAGAGTCGTATTTTTAAGATAAATAAAATTTAATGTTAATATTCAAAAGGAAACTTGAGTGATTTTCTGTAACTTTTATCTTGGGGAATTTTTTTTCCCCGTCTAGTATAGCACATCCCAAGCTTCAGTGATTCTTCTAACACCTTCATGATTTTTCTGTGCTGCTATCATTTACATAAGAATTCTTTAAATTGATAGTCACTTTTTAAAATTTAAATTCATATTGAAGAAATATGTCTTGTCATAATTGCAAATGGAGAACTTGTATTGCTTGCCAGAAAAGGGAAATGTAAAAATAAGACAATGAAATCTTTATCCACCATATAAAACAGAGCTATTTGGAAAGATCTCTTCTATTACTCCATTATTCATTGACAGTTCTAAAGTTATTCTCATGATCTCTGCTTCATAAAATACAAAAAGCAGCATCTAAAATTGGGTTGACTGCAGGTCACAGAAACCAGGCATAGCACACATTGGGGTGGGAGAAGTGAGGAAAGCCCTAGAATCATGAAACTTTGGAATACTCCTGATTTAGTTCATTCTGTTCTTACAAACAAGTTTTTAAAGCATTCCTATTTTATTGATTTCTAGAATATTTTGGTACATGTTGTGACACCACAAGGGCACAGAAATCTATCTAATCCAAACTATATACACTTTCAGCACATAAAAGATCCTAATCTAAGCCTGTTTAGGGTCCAAGTTTTGAGCCCCTGGTGTCATTTCAAGAATATACGATGAATCCTTGTCTGTGTTTTCACTACCTTAAGAAATTCATCTTACTCATTCAAAAAACCTTGGTCTCCTGAGCATGGAGACCATTACCTTCCTTCTCTGCTACAGCCTCCTAAGACCAGAATGGAAGAAACCTGATGCTACAGCTTGACCAACTGGTCTTGACAATCAAAGGAATTAGAGATGAAAAAACATGTTGATGGCAAGGTAAGTCTTCCAAAGATTCATGAGAATAAAACGTGAGCAGGCTGAGAATACTGCTTGTCAGGTATTCCAACATTATCAATTTTTAATATACAACACATTATATATATGATATTTTTAATATCAAACACATTATCAATTTTTAATATACACTAGGCAAATTATATTTTTTGGAGATACTTGGACTATTTTTTTCCTTCAAAATACTTATACCACCTTATTAATAAAGTATGAAGATCACTCCAGAAATAACTTTCCCCCTTCTTCTTGCTCTCCTCTCCATCCCTCTTCCCCTCCTTCTTTTTATTTTAATGGCCAATTTTAAATAACTGTCCTCGCTTTCCTGGATGAGGTACTGCAAGATCAAGTCTCTTCCCTGCACATTGCTCATTCTTACAAATGGAAGGCAAACAAGGCCTCATGTTTGCTAGTTGTGTGGGGTAAATAATTTATGAGATGGCTTCATGCATTTAATAACAAACAAATGTTTTGAGTAACTCTAGTTTACGCATATTGAATACCTACCATTAATGAGATCAACATAACCATTGCCCATTATAGCCACTGGGGAAAGTCTTCGAGTTTCTGTGTCAGGATCCAGACTTTCAATAACCATCATTGCATATTCCATCCCAAAGCACTGATAGCTCTGCCACTCTGGAATGTACTTACAGGTTGAATCTCTAATAATTCCTAGAAACATATTATATATATTTTAGCAATAATACAGAATCTCTTTGTAAAAGAATCCTCATAACATCTTTTTCTTGTTATGCCAGTTTAAGAAGCAGAAAATATAAGTTATTGGTTGAGTAGATAAGTCATTAAAAATAAAACATATATTTTGTTTCATGGGTTTAAGGCCTAACAACAGAATAAGATCCAACAAACCTTTATGAGGTGCTTTCTCTGTGACAGGAATTCTACTTCCATTCAAGAACGTGAGCATCGCCTTAGGAATTCTGTAGTCTCCAATTCCTACTTGGCTGTTTCCATCCCATTCATATTCTGCTTGAGGTATCACAGAACCAGCACTCCCCAGAAAGGAGCCATCTATGTCTCTAAGAAAAGATTTCCTCTTGGCATCACAAACCATGTCTATACAATCAGATGGATTGACTTTACTGTGGAGAAAAGTTGAATTATTCAGTTCATTGTTTCTAGAGAGCAATATGAATATACTTGAATATTTGCTAACAGGGTATCCAAAAAAATTAATGTATTATATCTTATTTCAGAGAGGCTTCAAAGTGGGACTAAGTAGCCTATGTAATTAGCATTGGAATGAGGTCTGCTTTTCCATTGTGTTGATTTGGTCTATGATTATGAATTCATTAACATTTCAAAACAACAAATCATACCTGTGGGATATAAAATCAGGATTCCACTTTTCTATTCTATATATTGTTGAATGATAGATTTCTTATTTGTGCATTGTTCACAATATACTAACATTTCTCCAGAGAGTAGGTGAATGATTACTGTTTTACAAGACATATAAAATCCCTGTGTTGGCAGGGAAGTCTTTATTATTATTTCCTTTCCTTCTTGTCTTTAAAAATTATGAAAGTATTGCTTACTATAAAATAATCTAAAGATTTATTAAAAGCTCAATCCCTATCACCTTCCCATTCTAAGCTTTTAGGCTCATCACCAATTGCAGATTAGTATATATTCTTGTAGACCTTTGTTTATGGATATATGGATATATTTGGATTGTGTTTATTATGCTACATATTTTAGTAACCATTCTATAGATAACAATAAGAGGTAAGATAAACTCATCATGCAATTCAAACGTAGATGGTATTTTGCCTCATCTTGAGTTATCTGGAGTGTTGATTGATTGTTACCTGATTATAATCATAAAACAGCAGCTTAACGTGTAAGGTACTATACATTCAAATGGTATACATACAATATACTCATAGAATACCATGATATATACCATGGGCAGAGTTATAGTAACAGAATAATAGTGAACAGCTCAGATCTATTGAATAGTATCTAGAATAGCTCTCCCTTTTTGCTATGAGAAACACGTGAAGTTTTTAATACAAGTTATTCCTTACATAATATACAAGTTTTAGAGAAGGATTTTAATAAATATTTTTGTAGTTCATGTGTTCTTTGTATTCCAGTATGTGCAATGTGTTTTTGTAAGCAAGTCTGTGAGTAGAGTGCCCAGTGGCAGTCTTTTATGTTGTGGCTTTGGGCTCTTAGTTTAGGTTCCCAAGAAATAAAGCCTGAGGTGTGGGTTTTTGTTCAAGTAAATTGCCAAAAGAATCCTCTCAAAAGGGGGAGAAGAGAAGTGGTTTATCCAATAGCTTTAATCTGATGCCATGAAAACCTCTGGCACATAAACTGCACAGCAGAGTTGTTGCCACCTTAGGACAAAGCAGCCAGCCTTGTACTCCTGAATTAGTCAGTCGTTTTACAGGGACTGCAGGGTGGTGGGAGGGAGCGCTTTGGATTCCTGTGGCTAGTTCTATTTGGCTAAGAGCAAAGTTCTGAAAAGCCATGGATTGTTATTGGCCAACACTGAGAACATCTGGGGGTTGGGTACACTGCCCAGTAAAGATCTGAGAGAGCACTGACAGCGTCACCTACCAGCACAGAACTCAGAAAAATCACATTTGAAAATGTGGTATTTTCTTCAGGACTTAGATTCTAAAATTATATGTTGAAACTGAAAGATTCAGTGACAAGTAAATAAGAGATAATAACCGCCTACTGAGGAGGGGCTCTATGGACCCCCCAAACACTGAAGTTCAACAATAATTAAATAAATAAGTGTTGGGTTGTCAGCAAAGCAAAATCAGATGAAGTCAAACAATTTATGAAATATTACATTTATCTGAAGAGGTGCCTATTTCCTTTTTTTGATACAGGGTCTCACTCTGTTGCCCAAGCTGGAGTGCAGTGGTGTGATCACAGCTGAGTGCAGCCTCAACCTCCTGGGCTCAAGCAATCCTCCTGCCTCAGCCTCCTGGGTAGCTAGGACCACAGGTGCACACTACCACACCCAGCTAATTTTTATTTTTTAAATTTTGTAGAGGTGAGAGCTCCTATGTTGCCCAGGCTGGTATCAAACTCCTGGGCTCAAACAGTCTTCCTGCCTCAGCCTCCCAGAATTCTGAGAATATAGGCACTAGCCACCATGACTGGCTGAGATGTCTATTTAAATACAGAACATAATTTCTTTTCTCTTCCCCTAAGCTGAAAATGGTCAAAGATCAGTAATAAAGTTTTTTCTTCCTCCAGTATTGCCTTATATCTAAATTCCTGGTCTGTACTTCTTATAAAAAGTAGGAATTATTAGATATATTATTCTATGACTTAGAATCTAAATGATCACTTCTGGAAATGTCCTGACACCAACTGACCTTTGTGATCAGAAAATCACTGTTCTAAGTTTTTTTATTTATAAAAACTGTGTATTTATAATCACAGTGATTATAATGGCTGACATTTCATTTCCAAGCACATTTTGGGGTGCCTGTGATAGGATATTTTGGAAGCAATAGGTAATCAAAAAGGGTAAGAAAAAGGGAAGAAATAATAAGAGATATCTCTTGTCCATTAATGACTGTTAACTTGAGAAACAAACAAAAACAATGTGTGTGTGGCTCTTGCCTGTAATCCCAGTGCTTTGGGAGGCCAAAGTAGAAGGAACCTTTGAGGCCAGGAGTTCAAGACCATCCTAGGAAACATAGAAAGACCCTGTTTCTACAAAAAACAAACAAAAAAAGAAACAAACAAAAACTTAATTAAATAAGCCAGGCATAGTGGCATGTGCTTGTAGTCTAAGCTGCTTGGGAGGCTGAGGTGGAAGTATTGCTTGAACTCAAGAGTTTGAGTCTGCAGTGAGCCATGATAGCATCACTACACTCCAGCCTGAGTGGCAGAGGTATTTTCCAGGATGTCCTCAAACTCCTTGGCTCAAGCAATCTTCCTGCTTCAAACTCCTGAATAGCTGGAACTACAGGCGCATTATGCCTGCTCTTAAATGGAAAGATATTAAAGTAGAACACACTTCAGACCCCATCTATAGTTTTCGTATTTAACAATGATGATGTTATTGATGATTCACACACACACGCAAAGCAATGGGAGAAAACATATATGTTAAAGCCCAGTTTTAAAACTCAACTGAGAACATTTAGATTTACATTATTAAATGGTCTTAATTTTCATAATGCTTATTAAAGTTTCATAAAAACTGGTAGTTATTTTAATATGCCAACTTAGATCTTGAGCAGGAGGAAGTGAGAATGAAAAACTATAAAGATAGAAAAACCACAATTTTTATGTATTTTTACCTTATATCAGGCCTATGTATATATATTTTTGATTGTTCAGTAGTGTCAACCAGTTTTATATTCTTCACATGGATTGGATGCTGTAAATCTTCATTTAAAGGGTTAGTAATGAATATAACATTAGTTTCCCCTGAACAAACATTCTTAAATCCAACAAATGTGGAACCTAAAACATAAATAATAGATAAGTGATTATTTTCTCTAAAGAAAGTGATAAAATCAGATTTATTTAATGCACATTAGCCAAACACATCTTTTGTCACTACCTTAAACATGGTGCTCTTGCCTGATATGGTAAATAAGTCTACCACTATTTGTGGGAGCCTGTTTCCTACCAATATTCATATCACTAGGTAATGATCGCCCATATTTTCTCTGGGCTTGGCCATGTAACTTGGTTTGGCCAATGGGACAATAGCAATCACGGCATAAACAGAGATCTGGAGAGTGCTTGCATATTGGAGCTTGCTCTTTCTTAGTGTTCCAGGGAATTCTGTGACTTCCAGCATATGAGTAAGCCTGGGATACATGTGGCTCTATCACTCCTGTCACCCCAGCTAATGGCCATCACCAACTGTCAGCAAGCATCAACCACCAGATATGGAAGTAAGGCTATCCTAGACTAACCAGCCCATAGCCATCCTATAAACTGACGGCACCTAATGGACAAGACCAGGTGAGACCAGCAGAAAAACCATCCAGCTGAACAAAGCCCAAATTGACAATACACAGAATCATGAGCTAAATGGTTGTTTAAAGTCTCTAAATTTGGGGGGTTATCCAGCTAAGATAAATGAACCACTATTTTTCCCTTGGCTTCTTTCTATATATTACATGGCTAAAAGATAAAATTGATTGGATCCAAAAACTTAATCTCCATTGTACTTAAAATCCAGTAACTCTAAACAGAAAAGCAAAAGGTGACCTCTAAAATTCTTAAATCAGTTATGTTTTATCTATGCCTCTTCTTAATTATATTTCCTCCTAAGAAGAGTCTATATACAGGAATACAAACCTGTAGATGAGTATTAACAAATTATCACAGTAGCAGATGCTGTTTGTGCCCTGCCCAGATCTCCTTTACTGGGTCAGTGCACCCAACACCTAGTTTCTCCTGTAAGTATTGGCTGCAAACCACTCGTAGCTGCAGTCTTCTGTTTTTGTTTTTTGAAATAGAGTCTCACTCTGTCGCCCAGGCTGGAGTCCAGTGGTGTGATCGCGGCTCATTGCAACCTTCACCTCCTGGGTTCAGGTGATTCTGCCTCAGCCTCCCAAGTAGCTGGGATTACAGGTGCCTGCCACCATGCCTGGTTAATTTTTGTATTTTTTCAGTAGAGAGGGTTCCACCATGTTGGCCAGGCTGGCCTCAAACTCCTGACCTCAAGTGATCCACTCACCTTGGCCTCCCAAAGTGTTGGAATTACAGGCGTGAGCCACTGCACCTGGCCAGCTGCTGTCTTCTCTAAAGAATTGCCCTTAGCCACTTGATAGTTCCCTCAACTGAGAGATTATGTACTCCCTTCCATTACCACAAGTAGCTATGCCTGACTGATAAGACATATGGAAGAACTTTTGCCTCAATGTGGGAAAAGCATTTGGCACAATTTACACTCCACAGCTCTCTGAAGTATCAGGTAGAAGAAGCTGGACTTCAGTTGAGGTCATATCCTTGCTTAGCTCCTTCCTCTGCCCTATTCTAATACTTCTCTCACTCCCTTTCTCTTCAGAGCATATCTTCAATAATCCACTTGCATAAGAATTCCATTCTGCTTCTACTTTATTGATGATTTGAAGAAAGAAAATGAAACTATAATGGTCATTCACAAATTCAAAGCAAATCTCAGGATATAAGTGTAAGATTAGCAGAACCTTACAACTTAAGAGATGGTTGGGTTCTGAGCCCTACCAAATCCCCTACATCAAAGGCCCTGACAGAAACAAAGTGGGATGCTAAGTTAGATGGAGATATATGGGAAGAGCTACTTGGACCTTGAAGTCTCAGAATGTGCTGAATGCTCTGTATGTGTATAAATGGTATACTCCTTCTTATTAGAGAGTAACTTCCTGCTCTACTTGCTTAAAATCATCAGGGACCTCAACAGAGCCTTACAAGAGAAATCTTATCTTCCACAGGACCTGTTCCAAGGGAATTATACACTAGTATGGCCAGTTTTAATATGTTGTTGGAATGACTTTTATTTTTATTTATTTTTTTAATTAATTTATTATTATTATACTTTAAGTTGTAGGGTACATGTGCATAACGTGCAGGTTTGTTACATATGTATACTTGTGCCATGTTGGTGTGCTGCACCCATCAACTCGTCATTTACATCAGGTATAACTCCCAATGCAATCCCTCCCCCCTCCCCCCTCCCCATGATAGGCCCCGGTGTGTGATGTTCCCCTTCCTGAGTCCAAGTGATCTCATTGTTCAGTTCCCCGCTATGAGTGAGAACATGCGGTGTTTGGTTTTCTGTTCTTGTGATAGTTTGCTAAGAATGATGGTTTCCAGCTGCATCCATGTCCCTACAAAGGACACAAACTCATCCTTTTTTATGGCTGCATAGTATTCCATGGTGTATATGTACCACATTTTCTTAATCCAATCTGTCACTGATGGATATTTGGGTTGATTCCAAGTCTTTGCTATTGTGAATAGTGCCGCAATAAACATACGAGTGCATGTGTCTTTATAGCAGCATAATTTATAATCCTTTGGGTATATACCCAGTAATGGGATGGCTGGGTCATATGGTACATCTAGTTCTAGATCCTTGAGGAATCGCCATACTGTTTTCCATAATGGTTGAACTAGTTTACAATCCCACCAACAGTGTAAAAGTGGTCCTATTTCTCCACATCCTCTCCAGCACCTGTTGTTTCCTGACTTTTTAATGATCGCCATTCTAACTGGTGTGACATGGTATCTCATTGTGGTTTTGATTTGCATTTCTCTGATGGCCAGTGATGATGAGCATTTTTTCATGTGTCTGTTGGCTGTATGAATGTCTTCTTTTGAGAAATGTCTGTTCATATCCTTTGCCCACTTTTTGATGGGGTTGTTTGTTTTTTTCTTGTAAATTTGTTTGAGTTCTTTGTAGGTTCTGGATATTAGCCCTTTGTCAGATGAGTAGATTGCAAAAATTTTCTCCCATTCTGTAGGTTGCCTGTTCACTCTGATGGTAGTTTCTTTTGCTGTGCAGAAGCTCTTTAGTTTAATTAGATCCCATTTGTCAATTTTGGCTTTTGCTGCTGTTGCTTTTGGTGTTTTAGACATGAAGTCTTTGCCCATGCCTATGTCCTGAATGGTACTACCTAGGTTTTCCTCTAGGATTTTTATGGTATTAGGTCTAACATTTAAGTCTCTAATCCATCTTGAATTAATTTTCGTATAAGGAGTAAGGAAAGGATCCAGTTTCAGCCTTCTACTTATGGCTAGCCAATTTTCCCAGCACCATTTATTAAATAGGGAATCCTTTCCCCATTTCTTGTTTCTCTCAGGTTTGTCGAAGATCAGATGGCTGTAGATGTGTGGTATTATTTCTGAGGACTCTGTTCTGTTCCATTGGTCTATATCTCTGTCTTGGTACCAGTACCATGCTGTTTTGGTTACTGTGGCCTTGTAGTATAGTTTGAAGTCAGGTAGCGTGATGCCTCCAGCTTTGTTCTTTTGACTTAGGATTGTCTTGGAGATGCGGGGTCTTTTTTGGTTCCATATGAACTTTAAAGCAGTTTTTTCCAATTCTGTGAAGAAAGTCATTGGTAGCTTGATGGGGATGGCATTGAATCTATAAATTACCTTGGGCAGTATGGCCATTTTCACGATATTGATTTTTCCTATCCATGAGCATGGTATGTTCTTCCATTTGTTTGTGACCTCTTTTATTTCACTGAGCAGTGGTTTGTAGTTCTCCTTGAAGAGGTCCTTTACATCCCTTGTAAGTTGGATTCCTAGGTATTTTATTCTCTTTGAAGCAATTGTGAATGGAAGTTCATTCCTGATTTGGCTCTCTGTTTGTCTGTTACTGGTGTATAAGAATGCTTGTGATTTTTGCACATTAATTTTGTATCCTGAGACTTTGCTGAAGTTGCTTATCAGCTTAAGGAGATTTTGGGCTGAGACAATGGGGTTTTCTAAATATACAATCATGTCATCTGCAAACAGGGACAATTTGACTTCTTCTTTTCCTAACTGAATACCCTTGATTTCTTTCTCTTGCCTAATTGCCCTAGCCAGAACTTCCAACACTATGTTGAATAGGAGTGGTGAGAGAGGGCATCCCTGTCTTGTGCCAGTTTTCAAAGGGAATTTTTCCAGTTTTTGCCCATTCAGTATGATATTGGCTGTGGGTTTGTCATAAATAGCTCTTATTATTTTGAGGTACGTTCCATCAATACCGAATTTATTGAGCGTTTTTAGCATGAAGGGCTGTTGAATTTTGTCAAAAGCCTTTTCTGCATCAATTGAGATAATCATGTGGTTCTTGTCTTTGGTTCTGTTTATATGCTGGATTATGTTTATTGATTTGCGAATGTTGAACCAGCCTTGCATCCCAGGGATGAAGCCCACTTGATCATGGTGGATAAGCTTTTTGATGTGTTGCTGAATCCGGTTTGCCAGTATTTTATTGAGGATTTTTGCATCGATGTTCATCAGGGATATTGGTCTAAAATTCTCTTTTTTTGTTGTGTCTCTGCCAGGCTTTGGTATCAGGATGATGTTGGCCTCATAAAATGAGTTAGGGAGGATTCCCTCTTTTTCTATTGATTGGAATAGTTTCAGAAGGAATGGTACCAACTCCTCCTTGTACCTCTGGTAGAATTCAGCTGTGAATCCATCTGGTCCTGGACTTTTTTTGGTTGGCAGGCTATTAATTATTGCCTCAATTTCAGAGCCTGCTATTGGTCTATTCAGGGATTCAACTTCTTCCTGGTTTAGTCTTAGAAGAGTGTAAGTGTCCAGGAAATTATCCATTTCTTCTAGATTTTCCAGTTTATTTGCGTAGAGGTGTTTATAGTATTCTCTGATGGTAGTCTGTATTTCTGTGGGGTCGGTGGTGATATCCCCTTTATCATTTTTAATTGCGTCGATTTGATTCTTCTCTCTTTTCTTCTTTATTAGTCTTGCTAGTGGTCTGTCAATTTTGTTGATCTTTTCAAAAA